TTGTAGAGCCCGTTTGGTAGCACCAAAATCGGCTGTTTTGGCTGATTTTGCTGAAATTTATGATATTCTGGCTGGAGTGGCTGTTTTGGCTGATTCTTCTGATTTAAGAAAAAAATATTTTAAAAATATATTTTATTAACAAATTAAAGAAAAAATTATATGTAAATATAGCTAAAATGGTCCTCTACAGTAACTTCAGCCAATACAGCCAGAAAAGTAACTCCAACCTTACTTTTTCGGCTTATTACACAATTCAGCGCGCGAAAGTAAAAGTTACGTGTTTGGTGAAAAAGCTGGCTGATAAGCCTGATAAGCCGAAAACAGAGTTCTCCAAACGGGCTCGTAGTGTTTGGGAAAATAAGTGCTTTTTTAAAGCTAAAAGCTGAGAAGTGCTTTTTTAAAAGCAGTTGCAAACAAACCCTAAGTCATGAGCAAAATCGGCTGAATTTTGTTACTTCTTCTGTTAAAAAAATTACTAGTAGACAACATTTATCTAAAAATCTAATATAATAAGGGTTGGTGACAGTCACGTAGGGAGTGTTTGCAATTACTTGTGCTTTTAAAAAATGATTTTTTAAGAGATTATTGGAAAAGTGATTTAAAGTGAAAAGTATATAGTGTTTGGGAATAGACGTGATTTTTGTTGAAATGTAAAAGTTGGAGTGTTTGATAAAAAAGTGATTTGGAATATAATATTTTGATAAATTACAGATACACCCTTAATAATACGTACAGTAGTATTTTGTAAACTCCATCAACAGATGCATCGGAAGAAAACATATGCATCGGATTATCGGAAGACCAAATCACCGGCATGAAATGTCACGCCCCGGACCTACCGGACACGTCAACAACCCGCCGTACAGTACGAATAGTCAACCGCAGTCCAACTCATCCATACTATACTAGGCGTCTTGAATACCATTCACACATAGTACATCCATAAACAATCATAACGTAAAATATTTAATTAAGCAGCGGAAACATAATTACAAATATTCAAGCCACACGTGGCAACCACGGGCATACAAGCCCCGAAATAAATATTCGAAATAATATCCATGAGCATTATTTAAATTGTTTTCAAAACAGAAACAGGAGAAGTACGAACCCCGCCTTCCTCCTTGAATTCCCCGAAGCAACGAGCGGTAGTAGCAAGCTCTACTCCCTACCTGAAACTGTGAGGTGGCCTCCCCCGTGAAGGGGAGGTCAGTACTTGGAAGCATTTGACAAGTACAATGACAACTATACTAAGTATAATCAAAGTTTCAATTTCCAAGACCCTCAATCCAAGATGTTATTCATTTGTACTTAACTCATGTTCCTTCATGCTAGAGCTCGGCTCATAGTCATGCTAAATTGTGCTAGAGCTCGGCTCATAGTCACACTACATTCGCTAGAGCTCGGCTCATAGTCATACTAAAATTGTGCTAGAGCTCGGCTCATAGTCACCCTACGTTTGCTAGAGCTCGGCTCATAGTCATACTAATTTGTGCTAGAGCTCGGCTCATAGTCACCCTACGTTTGCTAGAGCTCGGCTCATAGTCATGCTACCACGTGCTAGAGCTCGGCTCATAGTCACGTCAACTAATCCCTAAACCACTTCTTAGTCTAGGTTCCATCCATTTTGAGTAACCCTTAAGGCCTACTCCAAATGTAACTTAAGTTCATAATAATTTGAATATCTCAATTAAATTCCACATTCAAGTATAACTTGGCTCTAATATCAAAATATCACTTTTATCCTTCCATGACTTCCTTACATGAGGTAAAAGTATATTTATCACAATTTAGTTTATAGTTTACACAACTATTATACCATTGTATTCATAACACATAATCATACACAATTTATTCATAAATTTGTATATTATGCATTTTTGCTTATGAACAATAAAAATCTCATTTAGGCATTTTATTATTATAAATACATCATGCCAAACACATATAATTCATTTAGGTAATCTTATGAAATTAACCCAATAATTATAAGCAATATAGTCGGTCATCCTCACCTCGAGTGAGCTTAAGCGCGTTCTCCGCTTCCCGGTGGAACTTTGACCAACTCCGGCGAAACTCCGGCGAAGCTCAAAAATACTTTAATCAAGTTCCTCACTTTTCTCACTTTCCCCTAGCTTTTTCCTTCTCAAAACACCTTCTTTTGGGCTACTCCTTCTTGAGCTCGGTTCTTGGCTATGGAGGATGAGTTTGCAGAGCTCTTTCTCCCCTTTTCCTTGGTGCTGGCCGAAGTGGTTGAGTGAGGAAGGAGGGGGTGGGTTTCTTTTTGTTTCTTTTGGGCAATTATGGGTGAGATGGGTCCTCTTACATGTCAAACATGTTTCCTCCATCAACTCAAGAGTATTCAGCCAACTTTTGAGCTCAATCAATCCCCTTTTGGTTGACAATTTCGTGGGGTGGCCCCCACCTATGTGGGAGGTCATCCCAATTCGTCCCGAAGTGTACAATCGGTCCCGAAAGTTGTATTTTTTTTGGACTGTTTTAAATATATTTTATTTTATCGGGTCAAATAAAATATATTATGTGTTCTCCATCATTATAACCCTTATAATGAATATTCATTCCCCAATTTAATTTATAAGTCCCCGAAATTAAATTTCGGGCTTTTATCGGTTAAATCGCCAATACCGGTATTTGGGCCTCTTTTGACCAATCGGTCAATTCTGGACCTTTCCATGGCTCAAATGAGTTATCCTCCACCATATAAATATTATCTAGGCCAAGATGGATAATTTATGTGGTCCCGGGAATATTGGGCGGCCCCCGCTCCCGGTGCGGGCCCCACGTGCGAAACCACTATTCACGCAAAAGGATTAATAAAAGTTCACAACTTCGTATACTTATTAACCATTCCACAAGTTTCAATACATTATTCACTTAAAAGTAAATACATTTGGGGACGGTGTTACATGAAAGCCATCACCACCACTAGGCATGGACCTAGTTCGGGCCGCCCGGCCCGGGGACCGGCCCGGCCCGCTACTGTGCAGGCCCGGAACCGGCCCGGTTCTTGGGTCCGGGTCCGGGTCGGGCCTAGGCCCGGTGGGGGGCGGGTCCGGGCTCGGGCCTTGTATTTGGCGAACCGGCCCAGCCGGGCCGGGCTCGGGTCCGGGCCGAATTAATTTTTTTTTTCTTATTTTTTTTTTCTTTTTTGGGGTTACCCGGGTTGGGATTGATGGTTAGGAGGGGTTTGGGGGGTTTGGGGGGTGAGGGGGGGGTTAGGAAAGCAAAAAAAAAAATGACCAAACCGGAGGCCCGGACCGGACCCGGTGGCTACCCGGGCCGGTCCCGGGCCTTCCTTCCCAAAAAAAAAGCCCGACCGGGCCCGGCCCGGGTCCATGACTAACCATCACTACAGAGCCATCACTGCCATCGGAAGACCCAATCGCCGGTAGCACTGTAATAGTACCCGACGCAAGCATCGCTGGTGAGAGCTCCACCATTTTTTGTCCATTGAAGTCTCCTGTGTGCAAATTTGGTCGTAGCCTTCCAATAGTTGATTGGTTTGAAAATCAGATTTGAAAGAATCTTTTAGCTTCTCCTTCATGTTGCTGGTTTTAAATTTTGGCTGTGTGCTGGTAGTAGCTTGGCCGGAAGATGCTTGTTGCATCGAAGGGAGGGGGGGGGGGGGGGGCAACATGCAGGTTTGTGGGATAGAGGGGTAATGTTGGTTTAATCAATTTTTTTGGCATTAGAATAATCCTAAAAGTTTGACTTATTTACATAAATGCCTAAAAGCAGTTTGAAGTTGGTATATACCAGCTTTTAACTTTTAGCTTTAAAGTGCTTTTTTTAAGTAAAAGTTGGAAGTTGCAAGCACTCTTTTTAACTTATTTTAAGTTAAAAGCCAAGAAGCACTTTTTTTAGAAGTAAATGCAAAGAAGTAAATGCAAACACTCCCGTACATGATACCCGCAAGAGTCAAATTTGGAATAAGAGACTCAAGATCGAGTCCCACAAGCAATTGCGTAGGAGTAATATCTCAATGTTAGAGTACCTATGTTGCACGGATACGAATACGCCGATACGCGGATACGCGAATACGGGTACGACGATACGACAATTTCAAAAATTATAGGATACGGGTACAGCGGTATATTTATAAATAATAAAAATATAGGGTTTAATTTGCAAATATATATGATTCAGGGATTCATAAATAAAATAACTACCGTACAAAAAATTAACTATAATAAAATTTCACAGATTACGCTGGAAAATCTAAACTACTGATATTTCGATTTAAATTCAAATAATATTTTTTGTTCTCTATTTGCATTCACATCTAAGTTTCGTTTCAATTAAATTTCATCAAGCGATAAAATGACAAATAAATTATAGTATTCCATTATTTTTCATACTCCCGAAATCATCTTTATCAATGTTCTGCATCTTGTGGTCGCTTGGGCGGCTACTAAGTTTTCGTCATGTCATTTACGAAATGAAGGTTATAGGAGTGGATACGCGTATCGGATCACGGATACGGGTATCGGTTTACGGATACGGGTATCAGAAGTATCGGGATTTTAAAAAACAAGCCCGATACTTTTATTAAATTACGGATACGGACCTAATACGTACATGACATGTATCGGTATCGGATACGTATCGGATACGCGGATACAACATCGGGGTGAAGTATCGGTGCACCGTAGTAGAGTACTCCTTATACACAAATCACATTATCACAATGTGCACTTATCTAGCCTCTGTGATTAGCTAATTCGCCATCCTTATACAACATGCAATGAAGATCTGTGGTTAAGTGACCATAAATACAACCTCCCGTATGTTCTATTGGGTTAGGCCGTTAGGGCATGAGGAAACCTTAAGGTTGAGAACTCAACTTTTTTGAACAAAATTGATTAATTCTTAAAGACTGTCTTCCTGCAGCAGTTATAACATCTTAAAATCTTAAATAATTCAAGTGTTGCCTTTCCAGTCTCCAGATCTTTTCATTGTGAACTTTTTCTTTGAGTTGGGATTTTTGTGTGATCTTAAGTTCGTATTTCTCATAGGAACAGATATAAATGTTTTTTTTACTTTACCTTATCATACATGCATTTTATTCTATTTCAATATAACTATACAATACAAGGAAATTTATCAAACTCCATCCCAAGGTCATTTCCCTTTTGAGTCTCCCAAATTGATACTCCTATTTCCATTTTGGGTTAAGTCCATATTTAAAATGTCGATTTTAACCTTACATTAGAACTTTTAAAAGATGTAACGTTATATAAACAGTAGTTGGGTAAGCTTATCCCACATTCTTAATTTCCACCCAAAGAGTATAGGACTATCAATTTGAGATTTGAGATGGAGGGAGTAATACTTATTTGCCATGTGACACAACTCGTGTAAGAGTAGTCCTTATTCAATAATGGGAAACGCCAAAGAAGAGAGATGCCATTTGCAAAAGCATTTAGCTAGGCGAACTTTTGTATGAATTCATATATGTGCAGATTAATATCTTCTGGTTTTTCCTCATTGCAGAAGTGTCCCACCCCTTCCATTATAACCACCTCCTGCAGAAATGGAACATCTCTTTTGAACCCACCATTGTTTATGTAGTCCTTCACACCAGGAGTGTTATAGGTCAGGTCAAGATCTCCGACCATAAATTTAACTGGAACCTTTATCTGCACACCAGTCCATGGTGCCATCAGCTCCCAATTTCTGCATCCATCAGTTAAAACAAAATGATATTACAGCTAGAATAGCAAGGGACTTATCATCCTATATTCCCAAATACAGATTCCAGATTGACACAATGTTAATTACACGCACAAAAAAGTCATGGCTGATCAAACGATGTCCGTGTTCATATAATGTGCCAAAAAATCACAAGCAAGTTAGATGTGATAGCTTTTGTTATTACATCAGGGGATGACGCTTACAGATCTATCATAATTGACTTTTGCGATTTTATATATTAAAATAAAGAGCCCAGGCCATTTAGTAGTTTTGATTCAACTTATTTTGCTTATTTCTCAAAAATAATAATTTCTGATGGTTGCAATATTGTATACCAAACGTTTTGCCTCGTAGAAAATTATGCACATTCAGCCACATGACTCTTACTAAAGGGCTCTAAGAGAATTGATTAATTGACTCAATTGATACATCAACACAAACCGAATCATCTATATAGGTATCAATCAATGTATGGTTAAGAGACCACAACCATATTCAGGAGCTGTAGAGTATGGAGTAAGTGATCAGTTTATTCATAAAATTTAAGTAGGGTGGAATAATCCATAATCCCCTTACCGGATACTCCTCTCTAAGTTACTAATTTATTTCCCTTTTATCAAACTTTTATCATATTTATTCTCTGTTTTTGCACTTGGACAGAATTTTTAGAACAATTTCTAAGTATGTACTACGGGGTATATTTTAATTCTTAATGTGAATTAAAACATTGTCAAGAATCATTTCTTTATCATCAGTCAACCATCTTGAAACTTAAGTTAACACTCACATATCAATAGCTCTGTAGTAGTTCAATCCACCAGTGAAACCTGTTTGGCGGAACTTGCTCACGTAATAGTTCACATCTTCTTCAGACATCCAGGAAGGCTTGTTTATTGGTTGATCAGCTGAGCCCCCAAACCCTTTACTTTTAGGGACTCGAAGCAGACCTGGATTACGATATGTTAAGAATTTGTTAATTATTCTATCAGCACCAGCACGATCAAATTCTTCTTCTGCTTCCCCAGGTTCCTACAAATACTCAATAATGAAAAGAGAGAAATTAGGATCATAGTAGCGATTGATCTATGAAGATAATCCCTTGTTTTGTAAATTTCCAACAGCATACTTATACAATCATAAGTTGATTAATACAGAGAGATGCCTAACATTTGGAACCCATATCAGTAGGAAACTGAATCTCTTAAATTTGGAATCCATATCTGTAGGAAATTAATACAAAGCAATAATTGTTGTCTTCAACTTTTCCTTAAGTACCTGAAATCTGCAGATATAGTAATCCTCACCAAACAGCGAGCGCATAGATCCAACCGGTTTCCGTGTAGGGTTCCTCGGACTGAAAGCAACGCTCAAATTGACTAGTGCCTTGATTCTATCCGGACGAAGCAAGCAGAAATTCCAGGCCATATAGGCACCCCAGTCATGACCGACAAGGAAGACCTTCTCGAGACTTAACGAATCAAGCAGAGCGACTAGGTCGCCGATGATGTGGAGAAAGGTGTAGCTGGAAGCAGAAGACGGCGCGTCAGTGTCTCCATAGCCGCGAAGGTCGGGAGCTATGGCGCGGTAGCCCTTGGCGGAGAGGGCGAGCATCTGGTGGCGCCACGTGTACCACAGCTCCGGGAAGCCGTGGAGAAATAGGATAGCCGGCCCCTGGCCTACTTCAGCAACATGCATATTGATTCCGTTTACATGTATCTGGCTGTGCTGTATTTTCTCCATGTTTCTTCCTCTGCAATTCTAGAATCGAAGTATCGAACTGTTTCTTCCTCTGGATTTAAAAGGATAAGATGACAGACTGATTACAAATGATACTCCTTTGTCCTTGCATTTTACTCCCTGCGTTCTAGTCCATAAAGAACTACAGAAGGTCCCTTCTTTTTACACACGTTTTAGGAATGTAATCTTGTTTGTATTGTTTAGACATTATTGTTTGAGACTGTTTTGCATCATTTTGTTCACCAAATAAGAAAAGTAAATTGTTAATTGTTAATTAGGGATGATTCAAAAAGGAAACAAAACTTTTATTTAGGGACAAAGGAGTGATATGGAGTAGAGGTTTTGTTAATTAGAGATTTTATCTTAAACCAATATGTACCCCGTGCTTGAGATTCTTATACTAACTTCGTCCCACTAACATTAAGACATGAGGAGGAGATACAATTATCACGAAAAGGAAGTTTATATGATTGATATTGAATTAAAAAGAAGAATAAAGTACAAATGATTTAGAGTCACACAAAATTTACTAAATTTGGTACGTGACAATTTTAGTATGATTTCTCGAAAAGGAAAAATAGAAATTCTTAATTGGATGGAGGGAGTGGTTTTTACAAAATAAAATACTTCAAACCCATTTGATAACACTGGAATTGGCTAAATCGGATAATTCTGCTGCAACTTATGAAATTCTGAACGATGTCGCTGGATTGGTTAATTCTTCTAATTTATGAGAAAAAATAAAATATATTTTATTAATAAAACAAATAAAAAATTATATGAAAAATAGCTAAGATGACCATTTACAATAATTCCAGGCAATGCAGCTACAAAAGTGCCTTCAACCTTACTTATTTTGTGTATTACACGATTTAGCGTGCGAAATCAAAAATTACGTGTTTGATGAAAAAATTATGTGATAAGATTGATAAACCGAGAAATAAGGTCACCAAAAGGCTCTTCTTGTTAATGAGGGATAAATTATTGTTAAAGAAAATGATTATTCTAGTGTAATATAATAAAAAGAACATATATACATAATGCATGTATGTCTCCCCACTATTGTTTCATTGATACTATAAATTCGACTTTTAAGTTTTTCAATTTTCGTCCTTCGACTGTTGCGTCAAAAACACTTTTAATCACGGGCTTCAAATTTCCCACACATTGTCCTTTGAGCATTGTCAAATGTACATTTTTAACACTTTCACTGTGATTTTTGCACAATAAGTGATGGACTAAAACTCTCACATAACCGTGATTGAAAGATAAAAAAAATGTCTCTTTTATGAAAGTGAAAGGACTAAATATATAAAATTTTAAAAACAGGTAGCACACGTGTCTTTCACATAGTAGTCCAAAACCAAAAAATGAAGAAATCTAAAGTCGAATACCAAAGGTGTTACTGACATAGTTATCGAAGAACTAAAAGTGATAAAAACTTCAACAATATTGACACTTATAACATAGATCTCTCGTATCGCAATAAAATATCTAAATAATACGCCATTACTAAAAAAAACTAATGAGTCTATAAATAGGGACATAATCATTAATAAGTCTTAATAACTTATGTGTTCATCGCATCTATTAATCATAATCATTGTCCAAAATCAATGTGTTACTATGGTCGTGGCGGTCGTCCGTTAGCGATAGTAACTACTAACTAGTGGTGAACCGGGTCCGGGCCGACCGGCCCGTGAACCGGCCTGCAAGTTACTGTGTGGGACCGGACCGGCCCGGTCAACCGGTCCTGGTACCGGGTCTGGGCCCGACCCGGGGGTTATACGGGGGGCGGTTTTGGGATGCGCAAAAGCTGAACCGGCCCGGCCCGGCCCAGTTCGGGCCTAATGGCTATAATTTTTTTTTAAAAAATAAATTTTAAAAAATCAAATAGGCTCTCCTAGCCTTTGGAGAAAACCCCCCAAATAGCTATATAGCCGTTGGGTGCCACCAGGGGGGATCCTGTGGGTTTGGGGTGGGGGTGGGGGTACTAAATTTTACACCCCTTCTCTAATCTTCCTACTCTCTACTCTCTAATACTCTTAATCATCTCCATCTTCATCTTCTTAAATTCTCTTATTCTCCATACATCTATTTTACTGTTTATACAATTATATTATCCACTTATATTAGTTATATATTATTTATCTACTTATATTAAGTATATTATAATTATATTATTTTATATTATATAGTATACTATAAACATTATATTATATATTAGTTATACAATTATTATATCTACTAATATAGTTCGAATTATCTACCTATAAATACATATATTATATACTGAATATCTACTTATTATATACTTGTTTTTTACTTATTTACTTATATTACATATAATTAATATATTAAAGTGTGTGTGTGTGTGTGTGTGTGTGTATATATATATATATATATATATATATATATATATATATATATATATATATATATATATATATATATATATATATATTCAAGTATTAAATATAACTGTACTACTCATATTATAGCAATATACTTATATATTGTATATTATACGCAATATATTATATAGTAGTTATACTTTAATTAATATTAGTTAAATTCACTTAACTGTAATTTATTAGTTATACTTAATTTTATTACTTAATAATATTACTTATACACATTATAGTATACACAATTACACATTATAGTAGTTCATTAGGTAATTCGCTTAATTGTTACATTTGCCATTATAGTAGTTCATTACTTAATTCACTTAATTGTTTGCCATTATAGTAGGTCATTACTTTTTTTTTTTGAAAGATAGTAGGTCATTACTTAATTCACTTAATTGTTACATTTGCCATTATAGTAGTTCATTATTTAATTGTTCAATTTTAATAAAAAATATAGTTCGAATTTTAATTTATTTTTAAAAAACAGTAGTTCGATTTTTATTCTTATTTAAAAGTAGTTCGAATTTTATATCATTAAACTACACTTGTTAGATTGAAGTATTAATTAAAATAGTTGGAATTTTAGTTAATTAACTACATTTGTTTGATTGAAATATTTATTAAAATAGTTGGGATTTTAGTTAATTAAACTATTACACTTGTTAGATTGAAAGTATTTACTAAAAACATTTGGTTAAATTTTACTAGAAAATTATAATATTACTTACATTCTCGTATCAAACTTATAATATTTGTTATTAGTTGCATTACTTTTGTACTCATATTAACATATTTGTTGCAATTTAATATTTGTTACATTTTTAAGATGCAACGTGGTAGACATTCGGTTGATAATGGTAACCCCAGTCAAAACCGAAGGAAGGAGATTGCGAAGAATCATCCTCATTCGCGCAAAGGTAATGGACATATCAGGTCTTCTTCTCAAAGCCGAGATGATTTTGAAACGGATTACCAACGGAGAGATGGAATGACGATGTCCGACGAGCAACTACAAAACCTATTGTCCCAACAAGATGGGCGCTTTTTCCAACAACAAGACATCCCGACCATTGACGAAGAAGAGCTCGAGGATGAGGATGCAGAGGAGGAGGCCGAGGGTGACGGCACACCCCGGACGATGACACCCACAACGACGACGAGCCAGCTTCATCCCAACCCGCCGGTAAGAAGAAAAGTAAATCTGCTCTTATGGAAAATAATTTTGATAAGTAGAAGGACCCGGAGACCGAAAATTGGTGGGCAACTTGCAAGTGGTGCAAGAAAGATTTTTCCTTGGGAATTTCACAAGGATACGGGAGCGCGGCAAGGCATATTTAGTCCAAACACATCGTGGAGTGGGCGGAATTAGACAAAGGCAAGGGGAAGCAAACTCAAATATCAAGGTTTGCAAATAACCAACCATTTGGTAATTTCTCATATGATATTTCTAAACATTTGAGTGGTATGGCTAACTTAATTGTTGAAGAAAATTTGCCTTATATTTTTTCTAAAAGTGTTTCTTTAAGAGATTATGCTCATTGTGCTTTAAATCCTCAATTTAGAGGTTATAGTCGCAAAACGATTAAAAAAGAAGTTATAAGACTTTATGGTTTGGATTAGACTCGATTACAAAAAAATTTCGCAAACTTTGATGGGCGTGTTAGTATTTGTAGTGATATATGGGAGGATACTTATCATCATATACATTATTTGGGTGTCATTGCACATTATATTGATGATCGGGAAATGCATAAGCGTGCTATTGCTTTTCGTTCATTTAATGATCGACACACCGCTGATAATATTTATATTGTCATTAAGCGTATTTTAATTGAGTATAATTTGATTGATATGGATTTTGCTATGGGTTTTGATAACGCTTCTAATAATACTACTGCTATACCTAGATTGCGTGAATTGTGTGGTTCTATACTACTTTAATGGGTAGGTTTCTTCATCAACGATGTGCAGGTCATATTCTTAATTTATGTGTGAAGGACGGGCTAGCCGCGTTAGGAAATGCTATGGAGATAGTGAAGGGGGAATTAGACTTATTTGGGGGAGTGGCCAACTTAAATTACAATGGCAAAATTATTTGAGGGAAAGAAATGTGAAATATGTTGCTTTTCCTAAAGATTTGTCTATTCGCTAGAATAGTACGTATAAGTTAATTAAAGTACTTATTAGATATAAAATACATTTTCCTGCTTTTTTAAAACAGTGTCAAAACTATATTATAAACTTGGTTGACATCGACACTTGCGAAAAAATTGTGAATATTTTGGTATATTTTTTTAATGCAACTGAAACTTTCAGTCATGTTTATAAACCTACATCAAACCAATTTTATCGTGAAACTGTTAATCTCGTCGGTGCTTTCAATGAATTTTCTAATGCCGCTTACGTTAGTTATTTTTGTGATTTCATGCAAGAAAAGTTTTTAAAATATTACAACCATATTCCACATATTTATAGTATTGCATTTATTCTTGATCCTCGTTATAGACTTGCTGTTTTATCAAAATGTCTAGACTTCTATTATGCTTCTTTTTTTGGTGAACCGGCTATGTATGACGATAATTAACCACATAGATCCTAAACCAGAATACAACGAGGTTAGTAATGTATTGTATCAATTATTTAATGAGTTTCATGCACAATATGTCGACACACCCCTCCCCCGACACGAACATTTTCATCTAAAGGAAAATCATTTTTTAAATCTACATTTGAGAATCTTATGAAAAAAAGTAAAACAACTCCCGTTGTTGAACAAAAATCAGTTAACGAGCTTACTTTATACCTAACATATCATGTTGATTATGAAGAAGGGGGTGACTTTGACGTTCTAAAGTGGTGGAAGGAGAAAAAAGGATGTTCCCAATTTTATCAAAGATGGCTAAGCAAGTGCTATCAATGTCGGTTTCAACCGTTGTCGTAGAACAAGAATTTAATGCGGATTTAGGTGTTTGGGCTGATTTTTATTATTAGCTGAAAAAACAACAAATTAGTTACTTTATGAGCTGTTTCTTATTATTATTGTACTGTTTCTAATTGAAAAGAATAGTTTGCCCTTCTATTATATGTACGTAGTACGTGAAAAACATCTTGGAAAGTTATTTTCTTATAGAAATATCCATATGCCATTGTATGTAGTTTGGAAAAATTGATTGGGTGCTTCATATCAGATGCTCCTCGTCTTGTAGTGCTAAATAATTTATGGTTTTGGATTTAAGTAAAATATTAACAAACTCCACTAAATATTTGTGAGTATTTTTATTTCGATTTTATTTTAATTTAAGTGCATGTGCGTAATTTTTATAATACTCCATATATTTTATTGAGTGTATTTTTTTGTATTGAACAATATAAATTCAACACAAAAGTGCATGTGCGTAATTTTTATAATACTCCATATATTTTATTGAGTGTATTTTTTTGTATTGAACAATATAAATTCAACACAAAAGTAAAAAATCCAAGGCCATCACTCCCATCAGTTAATTAAGTTGTCTTATAACTGCCTAATCAAACAAAATTGTTTTACTAGCAAAGTCCATACCCTTTATAGTAATTTTACACTCAATCAGTAACTTCAACCAACATATTACTAGTGGTGGACTCGGGCCGGGCCACCCAGCCCGTGAACCGGCCCGGCACGCAAATGTGCGGGCCCGGGACCAACCCGGTTCACCGGTCCGGGTACCGGGCTTTGACCCGGCCCAAGGGGGAGACGGTTCCGGGCATGGTTCCTTCAAAATGAGACCCGGCCTGGCCCGGTTCGGGCCGAAATTAATTTTTTTTCATTTTTTTTATTCCAACGAGTTGGGCTGGGTGTTTTGGGGGATTTGGGGGTGGGGGGGTGGGGGGGTCGGGGGTTAATTAGATAAAGCAAAAAAGAATAAAGAGGCCCGAGGACCGGCCGGCCCGGACCCGGTGGATACCCAGGCCGGTCCCGGGCCCAACCCCAGAAAGCCCGTCGGGCCTAGGCTCGACCCGGGCCGAATCCACCCCTACATATTACCAAACACTTTCACTTCAACACATTAAGCCTTTTCAAACTATTAAGCCTGTTCAGCTGTTGCATCTGTTACCAAACAGACCCTAAATGTTCAATGCCCGATAATAAGAATGCGCAAATTATATCCTACGACCGGCACACCATGAGGATGGTGTGCCCGGTCCCTAAACAACACGGTATACTTACGCAAGACTAAAAAAATACATGCGTGAACCAGGCTTTGCCGATTTAATTTTGGATGCAAACATAGAGATGCGTGAAACATTGGATGAACCGTGCGTGAAACTTTGGATGAACCAGGCCCACCATGTTCAAATTTCGAAGCTTATCCTGTATCACTTTTGTCAAATTTTGTGCACTACGATTGTTAGTTAGTTGGATTTTATCTGCTTTGAGTTTGTTTTTACTCAATTGGGTTTTGAGACTCATCAAAACCAGAATCGATCAATGGAGAGCTGTTTTGTTGAAGATGACTGTTATAATTATTTTAGATCTTTCTCAATTTAGATCTTGGGTACACTCAAGTTACATCAAGATTTGTTGTCTAAAGTTACATATCCCAAGTTACATCTTATTTGTTTCCGAGTTACATTTCAATTAAAGCAGTTTACATTTCAACGAGTTATATGTGAATGCGTGTAATTTACATTTTGATTAACTTGAAGTTACATATAAAATCACACGAGTTACATTTTATTGAGAGTCGAGTCGGTTTACTACATTTGATTAAAAATAATCTGGGTTACACCAATAATGCTTAATGCCCAACATTTCCATGTTAGTCGAAACAGATTGGACTTCTTTTATACGGAGTAGTACTTAAGTAATTAATTAATTGACGGGATAACTACAATTAGCATGTGGAATACCAATCTGTCAAGTTTTTAAGCTTACCCCTTTATGTCTCTAACAAACATCCTTTCTAAGAGATCGACTTTCCTAACACTCTCCAAATCGCCGCCTTTATTCACCGCGGAAAAATGTATCATCCGCCACTATGCATTATTGCCGCCTGCTATGCACTATTATTGGGAACCACTCCGGCCATTCACGGCTTGGAGACGGCGTATGACATATTGCAGGAATATGACTTTCCCATCGGCATTCTCCCAACGGGAGTCAAGAGCTACGAGATCAACAAAGACACCGGCAAATTCGCAGCATACTTTGACGGGTCGTGCAGCTTCACCATAAAGGGGTATACCCTAAAGTACAGTAACAAGATCACAGGGACAATCTCTAAGGGCAGACTGAGTAACTTGGGTGGTGTGCAGGTGAAAATAATGCTTTTCTGGCTGAATATAGTGCAGGTCACTCATGATGGTGAAAATCTGAACTTCTCTGTTGGGATAACATCTGCTGCATTTTCAGTTGACAATTTCTATGTCTGCCCCCAGTGTGGCTGTGGATTTAGCTGTCTGAGCAGGGAATCCAATCTTCATAGCCTTGTATATTCTTCTTGATTTTTCTATTGTTTCCTGATGAAGAATTGTGCTTTTAGATTCTTTTATAAGAACTACTTCCTTTATTACTTGATCAGTACAGATATAATTAAATAAAGTCCGTTTTTTTCTGAGTATTCAAAGTTATTCTTAAATGTGATTATGTTAAAGTGTCAATTGAAAGAATCATTTTCACGCGTTCAAGCACCAAGTATCAAAATGGTGTCAACTGTCAAGTTTGGACATAGAACTGATCATTTTACAAAAAATCTTTTGCTTAAAGCCTTAAACAGTTACGCTTACCAGTTCAAAGGAATATCTTTGGTTGGGTAACACAAGTCTAGAGCTCCTCAAAGCCATCTTCATCTCCTTCTTCCTCAATCCTCTGAAGTTCTCTCCTCCATATTTCCATCTGTGTATAGTATAGATTATAGGGGGGGAAACTATATATAATGCTAAATAAAACCAATGGGAACCTTTGTATAGCAGTACCTGATCATCAGAAAACCTCAGATGGTCTGCAACAAAAACTATGTTAGCATTCTCTTCCTTTAGTAATCCGTTGTACTCTATCACTTCCACATGGAAACCGCAGCTCATGAAAATGCTTTCCAAACATCTCTTCGTGGTGGACTATTGTGTAATCAAGAATGAGAGAGCGCGCAACAAGTGTAGTTTGAAAAAATGCACATCAAAGATCTTGTTCACTAACCTTACACTCAAAATCAGTTTCACCCAGCCAAATAGGAAGCTCCCCCAACAATAAGCTTCCCTTCATGGCCAAATTACTTACCACGCGCAAAATATCTTTAAAGCTCTCCATGTTCATTACTGGCAGTCCCTGTAAAGCATAGTCTTTACATATTCATATTCATCCATGTTCTATTACAGTTAATTCTATAGGCAAGGCGTGAATTAAAACTTGAAGATCAGAGATTCAGAGATATCATGATGAGACCCAACAAAAGGGACAATGCGATTGATTTGAATAACTGTTATGACAATCTAACATTCACTGAATGTGAAATTGGCAGACACAAAGAGAATACCAAAATCTAAGTATACAAGCTTATAGAATCAAAACTTTTCTTAATTTAATTGTCCTTTTTAGTTTTATACAAAGTCGCGCAAATTCTACAAAGATTTTAGAAATGGTCATAAGGTACAGAACTACACAAGAGCATTTACCTGGAAAGCCCAAATACTTGGCTTGGTGCCATTAAAACCTTTACTTCCCAACATGTGTTGTAGATTAGATGAATTCAATGGGATGTGATGAAATACACATCTCCTTGGTATCTTAGCCCCAACATCTGATATTTATTAGAACAATTCTTACTAATTTTGAGAGAAACAAAAGCAGCAGATAACATAGGCAAAAGGCAAAAAGAAGCAAGAACCTTGAAGCTTTTCAGTTGCACTCCTAAACACCTCCTCTGGAGATATATCATATATTATGGTTGATGCTGGCCAATTCAGTCTAAACGGACGAGTATCCATCCCATCCGTAAACAAAACCACCTGCAGCATCAAGGTACTGTACATAACAAGCGCAGTGTTATATTACCAAGTGGATTGAGCTTTCTTTCTTATACCTGCTTCGGACCATCAACTTTATCTAAAGTGCTCAATAGCTTATCATCGATAAACTTAGTTGCAAGGCAGTAAGGTAGCAGGCGTTGTTCACTAAGAACATCAAATTTAACCGGAAGAAGGCAGCCAGCATATGGATCAATGAACAAAGGATCTACAATTTTATAATAATTACGTTCAGTCATAACACATAAGCTCCGTTTTTTTAACAGATACAACTGGAAGCTATATTCATCACGGCAATCGTTTTAAACAGCAAACTGAGCATAGAGATTGAGAAATGCGTCATCCATATCACGTTCGGAATCACAAGCTGTTCGACGAAATGCCTCAACGAGCAGTTACACTGATAGTCTAACAAACGAAATGTAATGAGCCTATAAGAGTTCAGGGATGGTGTATAGACTATAGACTTGCATGAACGTTGAGACTCTTTGAAACGTGCAGCTGCGCGTTCGAAGGCGGCTTTGAAAAAGGGATCATTCTGCTGAGACTGAGCACGAAGGTTCGCCTTTGCGGTGGAAATGAGAAAATTCATTTTCATTGAGGAGAAGGATAACGGCAACCGAGAAGGGAAAGGACTCGTACATAATCCAAATCGGGAAGCAATCAAGCTCTCCATCGGCAAGTTTTTCCGGTATGAACAATTCAAGGAGCCAAAGTATAATGACGATGACTTGTCGCTCCATGTCACTTTAAAATTGGTTCAATTTCATACATTAGCTTGAAAAAATGCCTTTTTTTTAAAGGAGCTTGAAAAAATGTCTTTGTTTAGCTTATACCTCAGTGTCACAAAGGCTCTCACCTACGGTGAAGTTAGGGGTCGGATGTATACAGCCTTACCCATGTACTAAAGTACAGAGAGATTGTTTCCGGATGACCCAAGGTGAAAAATGCGTTGAAAATTGAATGGACTGATTGCTACTTCATAACAAATAACCACAGACAGTTTAGTGAGTCATTTTGCTTTATTCCAACATATTCTCACGCCAAAGAATAGTGAATCTTTGGCTCCATTGCAAATGATGGAAACACAGCGTATGATAATATAAAAATGGTTTATAGTAATTCGAAAAGAAAATTGATTTTGAAAGAATGTAACTTAGAGTTTTTGGTGGAAAAATATTTTTTCTGGGAAAAGCAATTTCAAACATCTTTGTGAGTACTTCCAATTTTCAGTTTTAAAGTAATTAATGAGATTTACTTTTACATACCACTTTTAATATTCTAAAAGCAAAATATTGCGAACCCTGCTTAAATAGGTGTTCTTCATTTCCATATTTTTAAGTCCGAGAAGGCTATAAATATTAGGATATCCAAACAATATAATTTAGGAGAGATTTAGAGCAAATGGAGAAGAAGATGATGAATAGTGTAGTGTATGAATTATGCATTATATTATGAATCAGGGTTACATATCTTCCAGTGGGAGTATATATATAGCGAAAGGTCAGGCCGGGAATTTGAGTCTATACACTCTATCACCATTAATTGAGGTATTATAAGCTAAATTTTAGATATAATCCAGTCTACATTGTATCTTTAGGTTTTTTATTGATAGCCAACACATGTTTAGGATGTAATAAGGATGTTAACTTGAAAAATTCCAAAAATTATTTACGAACTTCCTATAATGTTTAAAGTGATATGCATGCGCTTATTATGTAAACAAAAATGCTTGAGGTACACACTTTGTGTACACACTTTGTGTACACTCGTCTGTCTCTTAAGAAAATTTTGTCTGTCACAGACAATTCATATATGAGTTGTCTGTGACAGACAAAATTTTCTTAAGAGACAGACGAGTGTACAAAAAGTGTGTACCTCTAGCATTTCTCTTATGTAAAAGAGATGTAAAATTCAACATTTTTTACAATATTAGGGGCTATTATTATTTCTTAATTCCCTTGAAATTAAAATAACCAAACACATATTTGTAGGACGGATAGAGAGTGTTAACTATGTTTTTGAAATAGTTTTATGGCTATGTTTGGCACACATAAGACTCTAGCTTCTAGCTTCTCTATTCTTTAAAAAGACCTTAAAAGACTCTAGTTGTATGTTTGGCATGACATTTTTTAAGAGCTTTTCAAAAATTAAAAGATCTTTTTTGAGATGCTACTGGGTGTGGCATCTAAGAAAAGCTCGTGACTTTTAGTATTAATTAGTCCTAACAGCTTGTATACCAAACCGAACTAAATCAAACAGTCAGTTTTTTACCAAACAGTTATCACCTTTTCTTTTTAAGATCTTTTCAGTCACTAAAAGCTAACAGTTGCTAAAAAGCTTGTACAAGTATCTTTTTAGCTAGTTGTGCCAAACATACCAATTTTGTAAAAGTATCTTTTTAGCTAGCTTGTAAAATTATGGATTTTAGTCTATCGATTTATAGTTTTATACACACACTTAACCTAATTTGTTAGAAATGAATCTTTGTTTTCCAATACGTAGTTAAAGCTTGACTCTTTTCTAGTGATTGAGATTCATATTTTCACAAGCATCCTACATCAACGTGCTAATATGGTAACACCATTAAACCAATTAAATCTGATGTAACATATTTGTACATTCTTATTATATTTTTAATTTGCTATTCAGATCAGATATTGTGTATTAAATTCTGTTGATTATAACATTAATCTTTAATCAATAATTGTTGTACAATGATGTTAATTGAGATGAGACTATTGTATAATTAATTGTTTCGGATAATATATTTGAAATGAAATTCTTATAACTACTGAATATTGTGCAATATAATATCATATCATTAATGATTGGTACACTCCAAATTTAAACAACATGTATACTCTAGACTATTACACCACTAAATTTTGTTTCAAGTGTTACGGTTGATACTATTGGAATCTAAATATATAATGCCAATTTATACCACATACTACCGAGTTGTAGATGTATACAAACATTGATTTTTGAAATTACCTTTCAGTTAATAGCATAAACATTGAAATGGATGGTTGTACATTATTATTCACAACTAGCCAACTATAAAACTTAGATTGATGAATGATGGATTTCATAATTCCATGCTGGGATGATAGTATCAGAAGGAACTATTCTTCTATTCTAAATACGCAAGTTTGAAGAATGGTCTTTTTTTAAGGGTTTGAAGTATGGCCTTTAAATAACATTGCACTAGTAATAAATAATAATTTCCTTATTACTTTTTTTTAATTATGGCACATTTATTATTATCACTTTTGAATTTATTCTAGTAATGTTTTTTATAAATACACAAGTTAATCAATGGTGAAAACAGGTAAGAAATTATATTCAAATATGACGCTTTAGTTTTCTAGTATAAACTTTTCAACACCACAACAACCCTAATGACTAATGAGACAGTATAAAAAAGTATAAAAACTTTCTGGAATTCTGGTACAATATGGGTACTTTTTCATTAAAATGCCCTAGTTTGATTTTGTATACAATATTGTACATGATATCGAAGGTTCTGTATGGTATACCTCCCTGCTTATTTAAATCTGATGTTGATCCTAATTTTAGTACTGCGTTTAAGCCATTAAGCTCTAACCAAAAAACAAAGTGGCTATGATATCACACTTGGAACTTTTTATATAATGCCAGAAACTCTTAGAGAAGACAGTATAACAAATATAAGCCAGAGAAACATAAAATACACACACGTTACCCAGGCCCATAATTTAGGACCTCCAAGCTCAGCACCTAAAGTGACTCGCCTAAACACCAACACGCCAATGCACCCAACTGAAGTAGCAAAAAAGATGAGCAAAGAGAAGCTTAGCCCCCTGGCATTCTGTATATACAACGGCTCCTTGAATGCAAAGAAGTTGTAGACCGTGTCAATCAGCCACGGAACGCCAATGCCTATATAGATGTTCACCGAATTGCTGCAAAACCAAATACATAAGTCCATCCTACCAGAGAGGGGAAAATGCAATATCTTTGGTCCCTCATTAGAGGGGGTTTCCAGAACTGCACGGGTTGAATTTATTTTGGCAATGTTGATTTTAGACTCATTACTTTCAAAATGTCTCGACTCCAGAATGTGGTCCTGAAGTCACGGATAGTTGCAATTTTTAACCGAACACAGTTCAAAACCAGGATATGACGAATTGGTTGTATAGTGACAATTTTATTAAATTTTAAAATGTCTAAGTTCATTCAAAACAATCACCAAACCATTACAGGGAACGGCTGCCAATTGGGAAAGTGGCAGGAAAAATCAACCAAAATAGTCACCACGCCGCCGCCAGTTTGGGTACAACGATAGGTAGGCCGGTGCCACTGGGATTGGGTCATACAGAGTACCAGTTAATGTAAAAAGTGACGTAACTAGTCAATTTTCGTAAATATTTGAGAAGTCGTAGCTTAGTTTTTCCCTTGGTAATATATTAAAAGTGAGCTAACTAATTACTTCTGGTAAGTATTAAAAATGCAGTCATTTCTAGCCTTTAGCTTTTCCTTTAGTAATACATAAAAAGTGACCTACTACTTCTGGTAAATATTTCAAAAGTAATCACTCCTTGCCTTTAGCTTTTCCTTCAGTAATATATTCATGTCAACCCCCCTCATTTTTTTGAATAAAGAAAACAGGGAATTAGCAGCTTTTTAAAACATGCATTTACAAAGTTTTTTAAGCTTTAACTTGTTAATTTGTCTAGCACCAATATGCTGAATCCCCCTTTTGAAACTGGCACATTTTGGTGGACTTTTCAATTACCCATGACTTCATTCTGAAGTGCCAGGACTAATGTCACCAGCCTCCTACAGTGACAGGACCAACAAATGCATTTTACCCGAAGAAAGAGTTGATTCAAAATTTGTAGGTGACCTGCAAGTGATGTTAGCAATGGCTGAATCAGCAGTCAACTGACGTTCTGCAGCAATCTTACTAGCTACCAGATCAGGCCATGAAGTTCCAGCCGCCAATGCTGTGAATGCAATGACATAAGGACTAATTCCTGCAGTCATCATAACACCTATTGCTTCATATAGTTCTCTCAAATAAAGTAGTGTAGACTTTTCAAATTTAAAAAGAACAAGTAAAAAGAAAACCTGTAACACAGCTTATTAGGTCTGTGAGTTGTGTAACAACATATGCTATCCCACTAATGAAGATTAAAGAGCATATGAAGGAAGGCCACCCATGGGCAGCCTGACAGGGAGGTATAAACGCAAAGAGAAGCCGCCATGGTAGTTGGAGCGTTTTCCATGAAAAGCGTGTGGCCCGAAGGCACATGTTATCCAGTTTCCTGGATGTTGCATGTTCTAACTGCTCCGTATTGAATTGAAGGATATAAATATGAGCCAAAAGCAACACACAAAGCAAACTTAAATAAAAAGGTGGTAAACTAGGAATGTGAAAGTTTGGTACTACTTAAGCATTTCTGTAAATGAAATGAAGATAATCAAGAGCCATGATACAACAAAAAACATTTTCAGTCATCTGGAGAGAGGGTACAGCTAATATTATAGCATCCTCTTGTTATGGACATACATGGTTGAATGATACTCCCACCACTAAGGGTATGTTTGGATCGTAGACAATGCTACAGGGGAAGGGGGTAATAAAGTTACTTCCTTGCATTCTTCTGTAGCTTTGAAAATGCATAGGAAAATGAAATGTGATTATTTTTATCTAAATGTGCATAATTTTAGATTCAGTCTATATAATAGACGAAAATCTCACTTTTGGTCCCCACAACTATGAGGTCATTACCACTTTTAATCCCCAACATTCATTTTTTCACTTGTGGTTCTTTTGAGGCCGCTTGCCCGGTAAACTTCAACTGGAAATTGTACGAAAACTAACTCAATAAGTGGTCAGAAGGACCAAAAGTGATTAAAAACCTCTGCCGTGGGACCAAAACGTGAAAAATGAAAGCTCAGGATGAAAATCGATATTTGCCTCATTTTCATAATAGAAATAAATAAATAAAATGAGTGTCAACAAATACTTAAGATCCATTTAGAAAGTTTTAGCTTTTCTTTTACTTTCCTCGACATTTTTTCCTTTCTTCCCAATTCTCTTCTATGTTTTCTTTCCTACTCCATCTATCCCATTTTGTAAGATGCACTCTCATTATGACTTGTCATGAAGACTTTCCTAGTTTAAGACTTTGAACCTAACTAAGTTTTTAATTTTCCACTTTATTCTTTTATCTATCATTTCACATTTTACTTTTTGTAGACCCATACTGCTTTTATACTACATCTTAATTCTTGAATAAAAGTAGTATCTCCAATGTATCTTACATACTGGGATGGATGGAGTATTATCTTTCCCTCGAATTTTGGAAAGCAGACCCTTAAAAAGGAAGAGGGAAGAACAGTACAAGTGCAGCGAGAAATTGTTGCTTCCAGATTGTGATGATATCAGATTCATTAACAGCTGTTTTGTCGAAGTACAGCTCTGCAGATGATTCAGCAACATCTGCACCAGGCAATATTTGATAAGCATGACCTGTAAAAGTCATTCTTTCAAAAGAGAGCTTATATACTACTAGTATACTATATAGAAAAGGTAATAACTCAAAGCAGAGGAAGTTACCAAGAAGACTATATTCATTTTGCTTGTACATAGCTTTTCGTAATAGTTAATTTTTCCTTAATCCTGATAAAAAAAATTACCCAATGTTTTTCCTCTCGCAAATTCAGTCATTTCAGCCTAAAAACTCTTACCAGATGGGCCCAGAGTATCGTTATACTATAGTTTCAAATTAGTGATAACTAGAAGTAATCAAGTAACAAATTATTCAAATCTAAAATGAAAGTTCTTGCTTTCAGAAATTACCTGTCTTGTGCCTTGAATGGACGGAAAAAATATCAACAACTTCCCTATTTTCATCATCTCCATCATTGAGTGATTCTGAGCACTCCTCTTGAACCGTAAGCCCATGTGTAGCACCCTCTACAGGAGGAACCCACTCCTCTGGCCTATCAGACCTTTCCCTGATAAGCAATGACTTATGATTAGATCTACTTAAATTAATTAAAACAAACTGTTCTCAATAAAATCTGAATTGTTAATGAACTTCAAAGAGATTTGTTACACAACAAAATCATACAAAGGGAGGGACAAATATGGCCAGCGCTTGTCCTGAGCATACACATGTATCAGAAGTAACCCGAACTGGAGAACCGTCAACAAAGACTCCCACAAGGTGACAACATTTGGAGTCCATACCTACTAACATCAGAAAAATTGAAACTATCCTGTTAGAATCCCAAAATTGAAAATTAAAGAAATAATGGGTTAATAAGGGAGTGTTTGGATCTGATTCTTAAAACTGCTTCTGCTCCTTCACGAAGCAGAAGCAGAAGTTGGAGAGTTTGGGTGAAAGTACAGAAGTGATTCAGGTGCTCTAATTTACTCCTAGAATCAGTTTTTTTAGAAGTTGGGGGAGACCAGCTTTTGAAAAATAATTCTGATTCTGCTTCTGCATTAAAAAAGAAGCAGAAACAGAATCAGTTCCAAACACCCCCTAAGACTTTAGGTTGAAATTGGTAACTGATAAAATAGAATGAGATATGAAATTTGTGCTTACCATTAGAATGATGTAGAGCCAAATGTAAGCCCAGAAGGACCAGAAAAGTTCTACGATCCAGACCCCCAGATCCGATATCTTTTTCAACTCACCAGCTTTAGGCACCACAACACAAACCGCGTGTATAGGAAACAGATCAAAAGCTGCAGAACCAACAAGTGTTCCTGGACCCAAACCTGTTATTATAGGTATACAAACAAAAAATAAATGTATTATCATCATTTTCATTTACCCCAGTGCTGCAAAGGCTCCCACTTAAGGTGGGGTAAGGGGGGGTCGGATGTACGCAGTTTTACCCCTGTACTAAAGCACAGAGAGACTGTTTCCGGATGACACATAGTGAAAATCGTGTCCAAAATTGCATGGACTGACTGTTGTTTCATAACAAAGAAGCGCAGACAGTTTAGTGAGCCATTTTTCTTTATTCCATCATATTCTCAAGCCAAAAAATAATAAATGTATTATCAATTGTGCCAAAAACTATAAAAAAAAAAGGCTGACTGGTGCACATTAGCATTCACGCCAGGCAAGGGTCCAGGGAAGGGTCCACCACAAAGGTGTATATGAAACAAGCCTTCCCTTGTCATTTTTCCCAAGACTTGAACCCACACCTCACGGTCACACAGCAACACCATAACCGGTGCGCCAAGGCTCCCATTCAATTAATTGTGCAGAAAAAATATATGTAAGGCAAGAGAATACTATTCGTCTGTTCATTTCCTATCAGGAAGATCTTTTAGTATGAATCCAACTACTGTTGATACTTTATAACTTCTATATTAACAATACAAGGTAAATAGACTTGAACCTAGCAGGAACAAGAAAAAAATTGGCAATACCTCCGGCATATAATTGTCCAATATTTCGTATTGCATCAATAGTGGCCAATGATATCTGTGGAAAGCTAGTCCCAAAGGCCAGCAGAGTGATGTCAGCAATTGTGTAATTCCAAACCTTTTCCTTCTTGACAACTTTGGTGTTCGTGCTTGGATCCGTCTCCACCACTGTTCGAGTATGCTTCACTACATTCTCCATGGACCGAAAAAAACAAGAGGTAATGGCTGACAAGCCAATGAAACAATAGAAAAGACCCATGAAATACAAAAAGGCACGTAAAGCATCACCAAGTGCAGTTTCACCACTGAAAAGCCAATGAGCTTCACATTTCTCGTGCTGCAATGTGTTTGAGGCATTATTCTTTAAGTTCTCAGCGGCAAGGTTGTACAGAGTGCCCATCTCAACTCACCTAAACTTCACATATACCTGTTATAATTAGTACTCCAATACAATTTTGCATATAATAAGGAAGGAAAATGGGAAGCCGAAGCATAAAGTCAAGCACTTGAAATTTGAATAGTTGAGAAAACCTTGTATTGCTGTGTAGCATATGTGAATATGAGTGAGCATGTAAGAATGAAGATTATTTCAAGCCCGGAGCCCCCTTTTATAATGTAAGGAGTACATCGATAGGTCGGGTTGTAAATGAACATAGTGCTCATACGGATTTTTAACTAATGGGTAAAAGAACATAAACTAGAGCCACTTTAGAGCTTGTTTGATAAACAAACAAAACTTAAACAGTACTGTGCTCATACGGATTTTTATGCCGGACAATATAGCTTCGAGTTCTTCTCTTCATCATCAACAACCATGGACTATATCTTGTACCAAGTCTTTAAAATCTGATTTTGTGATTTGATGTGAATATTCAGAATGGTGCTTGTTTATCTTTTTAAATGTTTGTGGCTTTGCTCACTTGTTTTTTTAAAGAGTACTTTCTAGAACAATAAAAAACAAACATGAACATATAACATCCTTAAGAAAACGAGCATGAACGAATATATTATGCTAAAAATGAAGGACCCCAAACATAACAATACTACGCCCGATTTATTTTGGTACTTGGGTAGGCCCCCTATCAGTAGGGCTAATGGATATAAAGGTTAAGTAATATGAATATGGCTAATAAATACAGAGATTAATGTTTGGCTATGACGAAGTAGATTGCCATTTTGTAGTTTCAAATGCTAACTTCTTGACTCCACATGATGAATTGGATAATAATGAGAAAAACAAAGATTAGAGGTACATTTTACTGAAATGGATTAATTATCTGAGATTTCAATTAAGCCCTTTTCACATTTCAGCAATTGAATTCAATTCCGCAAAGTCAGCCACAACTTCAGCAATTTCCGCCAATTCAACCCCTTTCAACCATTTTAGGCCTTACCGAACTGCTAAGGATCCGCTCAGCCGCTAAGAAATCACTGAGCCTTGGAGGGGAAGACGGTCAGCCTGAGAGGCAGGCGGTCAGCCCCCTGGGTAATAAGCCTACCAAGTCCAACATTTAGTCAATGACTGAAGTAATGAATACAATGGAAAAAATGCATTGGTTCTTGAACTATGTTTCACATTTCAAACAAATTATGCAAAGTTTCAATCTTTTCAAACTGATGAAGGGATGTAATCGGCTATACAAGTAACTAGCAGCAAGTTACCTCTAATTAGCGTTCGTTCTTCATTCCAAGAATGCAGGAGCTAGAACGACAGATCAAGCAGTTAATAAATAAAAAGGTTAAATTTTGCATCAAAGAAACAGTACCTCGTAAAAACAAGAATGAAAAAAACAGCAGTGAACAAATGTACCGAGTTGAGAAAGTCTTTCGGCGGATGGGTGATCGGACGGTGGACACTGGGGCGTTTGGCTCTATGGTCGATCTCACACTCTGTCCGCATCACTTCGTCTAATATACGTATCAATATTTCTCTCTAATTTCCAACACAAATGTGGAAAAGAAGATGGGGACATGCCAAAAGTAAGCACCAATTTTGTCGTTCAGTTTGGATTTCTAAAATGGAGCAACTTTACATTCGTGAAGTCGAAAACTTTATTGAGTAGAGTGCCTTGTTTTCCTTTGCCTATATTAGATTTTGGGACCTCACTGGCTAGCAGAGTAGCAGCCACTCACTGTGTTTATACTTTAAATTTTGTACTGTCCGACGGAAGAACAGCCCCTCTCCAGAAGAAAGGGCGACAATGGCACAATGTATATGTATGTACTCATACCAAAATTTAACAAACAATTCAATCGGGAAGGTATTCAAATAAATTGTTGAATATGACTGCACTTTTAGCTGCGCAGTTATCATCAAGAATTCATTTGAACGCCTTCCCGAATTAATAATATGCTCAAAATATTTCATCAAAAAATTTCACCGGGATCCGGTCTAAATTGCGACGGTCGGACAAAGTCTCCTATATAAGGGCTTATTTGATCTTTTTGGTTAGTACGTGGACTTATTTGTCTCTTTTCTCTAGTCATATGTGATGAATGATGGACAACCTGAACAAGCAATTAAACTTTACAAAAAATAACAAAACAAAATGCGTCATTGCGTGAGGATTAGCTTTAGTTTTTTTTTAAATTTTCTTTTCGTCTCTGATTTTTTCCTTTTGTTTGCCTGTCTGGTACTTTTTACTTTTTTGAATAAAATCTCTCTTCAAAAAAATGTGATGAATGAGCATTTTCAAGTGAAAAGGTGGAATACACATGATCAAGTAAGCATTTTTTTAAAGGATCCAGTAAGCATTTTATCTATCAACAAAATTACAAAAATATCAACATACCTACATGTTAAATCTTTGGAGAAAAGGGTTTCGTTTTGTTTGCACACGAAATGATTACATGCAAAGTTTAGAGGAGTTAAAATATATTACATTGTTGGACTAGATCTTTAATTTAATTTTTCATTGCGCGTAAATTCGATACAATGCTTTATAAAAAGAAGGGAAAATTGTCAAATAGGCCCTCGAAAAAAAGTCAATTAAGTCCTTCTATAGGAGACTCTGTCCGTCGAGATTTGGGGCGGTTCCCAGTGAAATTTTTTTATGAAATTTTTTGAGCATCTTATTCATCAAGTCTAGTTTATTCATACCAAATTTGAGCTAAAAATTCAATCGGGAACGCATTCAAATTAATTTTAGAACGCAAAAATGCGCAGTTATTTTCAAGAAATAATTTGAATGTGTTCCCAATTGAATTTTTAGTTGAAGTTTGGTGTGAGTAAACTAGACTTGATGAATAAGATTCTCAAAAAATTCCACTGGTAACCGCCCCAAATCGCGATGGCTGAACAGAGTCTCCTATAGAAGGATTTAATTGACTTTTTAATGAAAGTTCGAGAACCTATTTGACAGTTTTTCCAAAAAAGAATGCAAAGTATTTTGCCCCTCTCCTCTAACGTAAAATACTTTACAAGGTTCAATGCAAAAAGTTTTTACAAAATGTTCTATAGTTTACACTAAATAATCAAATCAAACGGTGTAAACATGTTACATCCTTACACTTCGCATTTAAAGAAAAAGCGGAAAAAGTTGATATTAGCTAGAGAAAAATGAGAGAGGAGCCTCACAATCGGATGGTCATTAGATCTCACCGATTAATATTAGATAATTGTGTGGCATGATACTCCCTTCTAGGGGTGGGAAAAACCGAACCGAAACCCGGAAACCGACCCTGGACCGACCCGAATTATGATCCCGGTCCGAGTTTTTTCTTTTTAACCGGCCCGAATTAAAAAAAAAACGGACCGAACCGAAAATTCTGGGCTCATTAACGGGCCTTAAATTCTATAACCCGGCCCGGACCGAAAAAACTCGAAACAATTAGTTTTATTATAAAATTAATATAGTATATGAATAATTGAATATAAATAAAATATTTCCTAATATATGATTATAATCACGGTGGATAAAAAAAGATTTAGTAACTTTTAGTAACTACAAATATGTTGAATTTGTTTAGCGTAATGATGACCATGAGAATATATTTATAGCAACTACTAGTTTAGTAGAGGTTCAAAATAGTAGGGGACGAATTAGTAGAGATTGAGGTAGTAGGGGTAAGCTAGTAGGGGTTCAAAATAGTAGAGGTTGAAGTAGTAGGGATTGAGTTAGTAGAAGTTCATGATAACAGGGGTTGAATTAGTAGGGATTGGGTTAGTAGGGGTTCAACCCCTACAATTTTGAACCCCTACTAAATCCCTACTAGTTCAACCCCTACTATTTTGAATCCCTACTAAACTAATCCCTACTAGTTCAACCCCTACTATTTTGAACCCCTACTAGCTTAACCCCTACTATTCAATCCCTACTGGTTCAACCCCTACTATTTTGAACCCCTACTAACTCAATCCCTACTAGTTCAACCCTTACTATTTTGAACCCCTACTAGCTTACCCCTACTAATCCAATCCCTACTAATTCGACCCCTACTATTTTGAACCCCTACTAAACTAATCCCTACTAGTTTAACCCCTACTATTTTGAATCCCTACTAACTCAATCCCTACTAATTAAACCCCTACTATCGTGAACCCCTACTAGCTTAACCCCTACTAGTTCAGTCTCTACTGTTTTGAATCCCTACTGTTTCAACCCCTACTATTTTGAACCCCTACTAACATAATCCCTACTATTTTGAACCCCTACTAGCTTAACTCCTACTAACCCAATCCCTACTAGTTCAACCCCGACTATTTTGAACCCCTACTAACCCCACTCCTACTAGTTCAACCCCTACTATTGTGAACCCCTACTAGCTTAACCCCTACTACTCAATCCCTACTAGTTCAACCCCTACTATTTTGAACCCCTACTAACCCAATCCCTACTAGTTCAACCCCTATTATTTTGAACCCGTACTAACTCAATCCCTACTAGTTCAACTCCTACTATTTTGAACTCCTACTAGCTTAACTCCTACTACCCAATCCCTACTAGTTCAACCCCGAATATTTTGAACCCCTACTAACTCAATCCCTACTATTTTGAACCCCTACTAAACTAATCCCTACTAGTTCAACCCCTACTATTTTGAACCCCTACTAGCTTAACCCCTACTATTCAATCCCTACTGGTTCAACCCCTACTATTTTGAACCCCTACTAGCTTACCCCTACTAATCCAATCCCTACTAATTCGACCCCAACTATTTTGAACCCCTACTAAACTAATCCCTACTAGTTTAACCCCTACTATTTTGAATCCCTACTAACTCAATCCCTACTAATTAAATCCCTACTATCGTGAAACCCTACTAGCTTAACCCCTACTAGTTCAGCCCCTACTATTTTGAATACCTACTGTTTCAACCCCTACTATTTTGAACCCCTACTAACATAATCCCTACTAATTTACCCTACTATTTTGAACCCCTACTAGCTTAACTTTTACTAACCCAATCCCTACTAGTTCTACCCCTACTATTTTGAACCCCTACTAACCCCACCCCTACTAGTTCAACCCCTACTATCGTGAACCCCTACTAGCTTAACCCCTACTAACCCAACCCCTACTAGTTCAACCCCTACTATTTTGAACCCCTACTAACCCCACCCCTTCTAGTTCAACCCCTACTATCGTGAACCCCTACTAGCTTAACCCCTACTACTCAATCCCTACTAGTTCAACCCCTACTATTTTGAACCCCTACTAACCCATTCCCTACTAGTTCAACCCCTATTATTTTGAACCCCTGCTAACTCAATTCCTACTAGTTCAACTTCTACTAGCTTAACTCCTACTACCCAATCCCTACTAGTTCAACCCCGACTATTTTGAACCCCTACTAACTCAATCCCTACTAGTTCAACCCCTACTATTTTGAACCCTTACTAAACTAATCCCTACTAGTTCAACCCCTACTATTTTGAACCCCTACTAGCTTAACCCCTACTATTCAATCCCTACTGGTTCAAACCCTACTAACTCAATCCCTACTATTTTGAACCCCTACTAGCTTACCCCTACTAATCCAATCCCTACTAATTCGACCCCTACTATTTTGAACCCCTACTAAACTAATCCATACTAGTTTAACCCCTACTATTTTGAATCCCTACTAACTCAATCCCTACTAATTAAACCCCTACTATCGTGAACCCCTACTAGCTTAACCCCTACTAGTTCAGCCCCTACTATTTTGAATCCCTACTGTTTCAACCCCTACTATTTTGAACCCCTACTAACATAATCCCTACTAATTTACCCTACTATTTTGAACCCCTACTAGCTTAACTCCTACTAACCCAATCCCTACTAGTTCAACCCCTTCTATTTTGAACCCCTACTAACCCCACCCTTACTAATTCAACCCCTACTATCGTGAACCCCTACTAGCTTAACCCCTACTACTCAATCCCTACTAGTTCAACCCCTACTATTTTGAACCCCTACTAACACAATCCCTACTAGTTCAACCCCTATTATTTTGAACCCCTACTAACTCAATCCCTACTAGTTCAACTCCTACTATTTCGAACTCCTACTAGCTTAACTCCTACTACCCAATCACTACTAGTTCAACCCCGACAATTTTGAACCCCTACTAACCCAATCCCTACTAGTTCAACCCCTACTACCCAATCCCTACTAGTTCATCCCTACTACCCAATCCTACTAGTTCAACCCCTACTATTTTGAACCCCTACTAGCCCAATACGTACTAGTTCAACCCCTACTATTTGTGAACCCCTACTAGTTCAGCCAATCCCTACCATCGTCAACCCGTACTATTTTGAACCCCTACTAGCTTAGCCCCTACTAACCCAATCCCTACTAGTTCAACCCCTACTAACCCAATCCCTACTAGTTCAACCTTACTATTTTGAACCCCTTTTAGTTTAACCCCTACTACCCAATTCCTACTACTTCAACCCCTACAATTTTGAACCCCTACTAACCCAATCCCTATTAGTTCAACCCCTATTATCGTGGACCCCTATTAGCCCCTATTAGCTTAACCCCTACTACTCAATCCCTACTAGTTGAACCCCTACTAACTCAATCCCTACTAGTTCAACCCCACTATTTTGAACCCCTACTAGCTTACCCCTACTAACTCAATCCCTACTAATTCGACCCCTACTATTTTGAAACCCTACTAAAAGAACAATGATATATTTCACGTTCGGGCTTTAACCGGTCCAACCCGAACCCGGACCGAACCCGGACCGAACCCG